TCAGCGGGTGCAGCAGCCTCAGAATAGACAAAACTTCCTCTGTGACCTGGAATAAAGATCAACGGAAAGGAATTTTTTTTTAAACCTCCAGAACTCTGCGGATGTATACCACAGTACTGTGTTGTGGTAAACTGTACCCGATCTTTGTGTTGACTCCAGCCCTCTCCTTCTCTGTTTTCCTGCAGTTTGTCCACCTGGGCCTTCAGCTTGATACTTCGTCTGCGGGACAGCTCCACTTCTCGCCGTACTTCTTTAAGCTACAAACACCATAATTTAATATCCCATCAGAAAATGTTTAGTTTCTCTTGCTGTGAAAGTAAATCAAAGCCTGCACTCAAAAGCTCCTACTTCATGACATTTTTTACACAATCTGAACAAAAACTGCTAATCTACAATCTCGAGTGAAACAACAGATAAAAAATCCAGTCATACTAGTTGAGAGGTCATCCAACACTAAACTGTTTGATGACGTTCACGTCTTCACACATGAATGCAATCCTGGAAGTGTGCGTACACACAGATATCAGAGATATAGGACTAATAAGTGCTGTTAACATGTGTCCAAAATCATTCATTGTCACTGGAAACTGAGGTTTACTGCACTCTGACAGCAGAGCATCAAACGTGTTTTTATTCTACTTCATTATGTTTGCATGGCAGGACTCTGTGCGCTTTGTGTGTTTGTACCCTTTGATACACTGCTAAGCAACAGTTCAATCAGCCTCCTCCCTGTTTTACAGGTTTCATGTTTGACAATCCTCTTCAAACAGATCTCAGTTCAAGCGCTGGTGCTTTAAAATATTTGTGGTTTTTACACACGTGAATATTAAAAAGACTATCTTGGCGTTACCGTGTCTGAGTAGTGTCCCAGTGTTCTACGTCTTCTGAGCGGCTTGCCACTGTTTAGCAGGTCTGGTAGGGTCCCGTCTAGGTAGTTCCTCTGGAAAGAGTTTGTGTTTTCATTGGATCCTGACCCTTCAGAGTCCCTTGCTTCCTCTGAGGCCACCTCACCCACGCTGTCTTTCTCGTCAGACTGTGAGGTGCTTTCGTCGTCACCCAGCTCATCTTCGCTGATATCGTTCAAATTCAATTCGTTAATGAGGCATGTGTTTTTACCAGCCAGCAGACTGGCAGTGTTTCCTTTAGAGTAATCTTTCTCTGTCTCGTCTACAGACTCTTCTGGATCGTCTGTCTTTGTTGTGGCATTTGGTTCAGGTTCTCTTGGCAAAACCATTGCTCGGTAATAAGTATATTTGTTCCTGAGCGAGCCCAGCTGTCTGTCCTCCAACCTGTTCAGAGAGGAGTAGAGTTGCTCGCTGGTGGTGACTCGAGGTCTCAGCTTCTCATTGAGGACTGAAAAAGGCTGACTGAAATCCATGGCCGGCTCTGTGGAAGTCACAGGCAGAAGTGGGCTCAGTTAAACCATCTGCAGACAGCGCCAGGTAAAAACAAACTCAGGAAAGCAAGAGGAAGTCCATAAAACAAAGTGGAGTGAGGATGACAAATAGAATGTCATTAAACTTGTTTTACCTGAACTGTGTGCGTCTTCACTGGGGCATGATATGACACGATGTGATGTCAGCGGAGGCTGTGGCTTCAAGTGGCCCGTCTGAGCTTTCTTCCTCATTTTTCTGCCGCTACAAAAACATGACGTGCAAACATACCACAGCAGCAGGGAGACAAATGGGAGGAGGGCTTCTGATACAATCTAGTTATTCAAACCTGACGCATGAAACTGTATTTAAACTCTTCCTTTATCAAGAAAGTCACACATACATAGAACATAGCTACTAGGAGTAGGCCAGTAAACAGAGGTGAAAATAAATTACACAACAGCATCAGCGGAAGTGAATGTTTGTGAAAAATCACACTTCAGATAAGTCCCTGATTTATTTTTGGTACTGAAAGACTTTGGGGAAAACACCAGTTAGAGTCATTCCTGATATCTGAGGTCAAACGGATTCTGTGACAAACCTCCCACATGCCTGTGCAAAGATGAATCAGTAAGTGACTGAAGGAAAAAAATGATCATCATCAGTTATGTGCATTTAAAAAAAGCTGTTTCCATTACAGTTCACATGGTTATGCGATTCACCAAGATGCAGCAAGGAAGTGGTTCTTGATTGTGTTTTTCCCACTAAGCCAAGGCTGTTTTGAGCAAGAAGTAGGTCGCCTCTAAATTAAATATTCAGCCAGATAGGCCCACTTTTTTTTAAAATAAATTCTCTTAAATATGGAATCAGACATCTCTATTTCACTGTTTTGAGGTGCTTCTGCTTTTTTACCCATCAGTGCCACAATTAATCTTGTAATTTGCCTTAATTACCTTTTTTCTTTTTTTGCAGTATACAACTACTTTATTGTGGCTAATCAAAGTCAGTAGAATGACAGACTGAGGCACATACCTATCTGAACAAATGTTAGAAATTGTTTAACTTTATTTATGGCTCAGAGTTTTAATCAGATATATGTGACACAGAAAGTTTTCACAGGACTGCATTCAGTCACGCTAGAAACTAAATACACCCTATTATATACAATCCTGTAGAACGATGTGGAGGAATTTTGGCTCACTTTTTTACTAATGTTGTTTCAGTTCATTGAGGTTTGTGGGCATTTCATTATGCACAGCATTTCAATCATGTGCTTCAACATTTCCTCCTTTCTTTTTCAGTCATTCTGGTGTAGATTTGTTGCTGTGTTTGGGATCAATGTCCTATTGCATGACCATACAACCTAGCTTGAGCTGTTGGATGGACGGCTTCACATTTGAATCTTTGGTATATAGAGGACTAGGCCTGTGGCTGCAAAACAAGCCCAAACCATCACCCCTCCTCCACTGTGCTTGACAGCTTTTACTAGATGTTTCTGCTAATGTGCTGCGTTTGTCCATTACGTCACATATCTCCAGTTTCACCTTGTCTGTTCAAAGGACATTTTTCCTTTTGTTCATATGCAACAATGCAAACCTAAGCTGTGTTCCCATCTTCTATTTGGTTGGAAACCCTTCCAAACAGGCCATGTATGCTCAGTATTTTTCTTATTGTACTGTCTTGGACTTAACATTTAACATGCTAACTGAGGCCTGTAGAGTCTGAGATGAGAGCACTTTGCTTTTGCGTATCATCTCGGAGTATTGCATTGTCTGACCTTGTGGTCAATTTGCTAGGAAATCTACTCCTAAGAAGATTGTAGCATTAAGCTAACACACACCTACTTAGTTAATCGAGTAAATCTGATAAGCAGCACCTGGCTGCTACTTATCCACTTGCTTCCTGTAGAAGCTGTAAGGCCATCTGCATATACTCCCGTCTATGAGCCTGTTGCAGCTAGCTATTGGTTATCTTAGCTTAGCATTTTTGATCTCCAGATCAAAAGCACCTCAGCACATTTAAAGCTTTCTAATTAACTCTTTATGTGGCTTAATTCTCACAAACAGAAACAAAAAGAGTAAAGAATTAAGAACAGATTATTATTATTCAATAATAATAATAATAATAATAATAAAGTTTAATTATGAAGTTGCCTTTCAAGACACAAGATAAAATGAACAAACAGTGGGTTCACAGTGAAAATGCACATTTGAGCAGATGGGTTTTGAGTTGAGATTTAAACTGGGGGTAAAGAGTTCCACAGCCTGGGAGCAGAGCAGCTAAAAGCTCTGCTTCCCATGGTGCTGAGGCGGAAAGAGGGCACAGCGAGCTGGATAGAAGAAGAAGATTGAAGTGAGTGGGCAGAAGAGATAGTGCTTAACAGGTCAGACAGGTAAGGAGGTGCAAGGTTATGAATGGCCTTGAAGGTGAGCAGAAGAAGTTTGAATATTATCCGGAATTTTACTGGGAGCCTGTGAAGTTCCTGAAGAAAAGGGGTGATGTGTTGGTAGGAGGGGGTTCTGGTGATAACGCGAGCAGCAGAGTCCTGAACCAGTTGAAGCTTATGGAGGGATTTATGGGGGAGACCATGCAAATGAGAATTGCAGTAGTCAATACGGGATGTAACGAGACTGTGGACAAGAATGGACGCAAACTGGGTGGAAAGAGAAGGACGTAATCTGTTTATGTTGGGCAGATGGCAATAGGCAGAACGGGTGAGATTATAGATGTGAGATTTATAGGAAAGTGAACTGTCTAGGATGACACCAAGGCTCTTAACCTGAGGAGAAGGGAAAACTGTGGAGTTATCAATAGTGAGTGAGAAATGGTTCAACTTCAAAAGGTTGGATTTGGTGCCAATAAGGAGGATTTCAGTTTTATCCTCATTGAGCTTTAGAAAATTAGAGCTATTTACTAAGTTTTGAATGCTTTCTGCTGTTTGTAACTGATGTAACAAGTTTTGTCACCACGTTTATTAATGAAGTCCTCCTGAGCCCTGATACATATGTCAGATTTAGATTTTTCAATTCTATTTTTTTAATATTATGTATTTGAAATAATCCCATGACTTTGCGTTCTGATATCAAAGCAAAAATATTCAATAAAACTTCACCATGCTCCAGAAATATTTGTGCACAATTGCTTCACATTATAACGCATTCCAAGAAGCTGCATCGTCAGACAATACCTGTGGAGGTGGTCTGTGACAATGTGAGGCTATTCATATGCATTCATTTGCAGGGCGGTCCCTGTTGTATTTCCAGTGAAACAATTTTAAAATGTCAGCAGTGTTGCGCGTTTAATTTTTGTCTTGTGTAATTATGTTCCAATCAGAAAGAAAGTCAGTAAGCAAAGAAACACATTTAACTCTGTTCTGTATTTTGGAGTTATTCTCACTGTTTTGGTAAGGTTCAATAAAGGCGGTGGAGCCTTGTGGAGCACAAATACCAGACTGTACAGCACCTTTTGTTTTTCCTCAACTGAATGAATCAAGGACCTCCCAGGTCTTTGGTATTAATACAGACATTTAGCCTGTTCTTAACCAGGAAGATTTAAAAAAAAAAAAAAAAAAAACCTTTCTGCAAAGTCATTCAGAATTTGGTAACAAGACATCCTAACATCTGCCTCTAACTTTGCTCTCCTCCTCAAGAAATGCAGCTTAAAACAACCTCTGCACAAGCTGTTTGATAACAGTTTGTCAATTTTATATCATTAGATTATTAGAATAACCAGGACTCAAACTGATTCTTTGGTCAGGGCTAAGACACTTCATCACAAAGTCAGAGGTCTTGGCTTTATACTGTTACTGTATTTAACCAAAGTGGAGTTTTTCAAAACATTTCTGGTCTGTTTAGCAGAATGAGCCCAATCAGTCAGACCCTCACTATGGGAAAGTAAACAGAAAGCCAAGGACAGGATTAGAGAAGCCTAGACTGAACAAACGGACCAATTTACTACCCAGTCACATAGAAACGCTCAACAAAAGACACATCCCACCACATGGAAGGAAGACTACCAATGCTGGCAAAGAGTGCCCCACTTGTTCATTTCACTGGATATGTTCAGAGGCATGTAAGCAAGTCTCTTTAGTTAAGCCTGCACTATGCAGCAGAAAACGGCTCCAGGATGGGCAGCCATGTGCTGTGACCAGTGAGGAGAAAGAGAAAAGAGGGGCACAGAGGGAGCACAAACAGCAGTGCTCCGTGGGGATTATATAGTACAATGAGGTCTTTTGAGAATAAATGTGGGATAAATTCAGGAATTCACAGGGATCCACTGAAGAGAAGCTAACGGGGGAGAAACATGATCTCGCAGTACTCACACTGCAAGGTTGCAAAACGAGGAATTTCAACAGTCCACCCTAGAAAGAAGGAAGTAGTTTTGAGAGAGCTGAAGAATTTTAGATTGATGTTGGAAGTGTCCAGAATTGACAAGATTAGAAATGTGTACATCAGAGCTCAGGTTGAGTGTCTTGGGAGCCAAAGGTTTGAGAGGCAAGGATAACAAGCTTGGACATTTACAGAAGAGGAATAGTGGATATATTGGACAAAGAATGTTGAAGATGGAGGTGCCAGGCAGGAAGAAAAGAGGAAGACCAGACGGGAGATTCATAGATTTAGAGAGATGTGAGGGATAGGGTGAGATGGAGGCAGATTTATCTCCTGTGGCGACCTCTAAAGGCGAAGTAGCAAATGCATGGTGTAATCATTTAGCATCTGGCATGATGTTACTGTTACAGGTAAACAGAAAGTTCTTGGAAAATAGTAATAAATTATTTTTTTCATCATTTTAAAAAGTATTTTTTATTAAATGTTTCATAATGGTAGATTTCCTTTATTCTTTATGAAATTCTCCACAGGAGAAATATAGTTAGCTTCACGTTTAATGTGAATTTCTTCCTCATTTTTATTTAGTCCTTTGCTTCCATCTTGTTGTAAACTTTAAAGTCATCACATTTATTATTAAAGGCTGTTCACTGCTGGCTCAAATCCACACTGCTGTCCTCTGAGGCTATAGTTCTGCTTTTTCTTTTTTCTTCCTGCCCTTCTGTCCATCACTGGCAGCACATCTGAATCCAAGGTTGTCAGAAGCAGAGTCGGGAGTGTTGCCCATCCTGCAGGATGCACAGTTGTAAGCATTACTCAAGATTAAATCGGTGGGTCTGAACATACGTTATCTTTTGTTTTGGTTTTTTTACCTCAGAAACTCACCTGGTTGTGATTCGAGCCTTGTGATTAGCTGAACCGTCCAATGTGTCGATCCAGGAGGCACCGCGCAGCACGTACATCGGCCTCGCTGCTGAAAAGCGTGTGGATGTCCACTCCCATGTATTTCCCATCATGTCATACAGTCCTGGAGGAAGATTTGTCATTATGTGTTAATGTTCACAACACAAAATGTGAGAAGAAAAATGAAATGTTTCCAAAAGCTCAAAACACAAATGTAAAGTCTTAATGCACAGTTAATATTCCTCTTAAACATCTTAGCTACCAATCAGCTCTTTCATCATGCCGATAAGATGTTTGTTAAAACAAGATTACCATAGCTATTCTGGGGAGGGTACGCTGTAACAGGAGAGATGCCGTGGTATCCATCCTCTGCAGTGTCTCCATCTGGGAAAGATCCCTAAAATACACGAAAGCTAGAATTACCACAATACCATATTACACTTTAAATCCATGTTTGTCCAGACTCACAATACAGTAAGTGAAGAATTACATGAGTCTTAGTCACAGATGGGCAGTAAAGCGTAATCTGATTACTTTTTTCAAGTAATGAGTAAAGGGATTACTATTGCAAAAAAGTAATTAGATTACTGCTACTTACCCGTAAGCAGGCTACATTACTGCGTTACTAAACCATTATTTTGTTTGTGAGTGTCTTATGACAATGACGTACGAGCGTGCGACGTCCGTGGCAGCAACAGACATGTGTCGATCAACAACAGATAACGTGGACTGCGGCTGAGTACTGAGTACGACCATGTGGCGTCCACAGTACACTCTGCGTGGGAAGAAAACGTCTTTCTACAGCAAAAACTTTAACTTTAAATCTGAGCAAGCACCTGGCAAGCTGCCACAGGAATGTTGAATTCACAGAGAAGCCCCCGGATCCTATACAGCTTTATAACGTATTTATAACATATTCAAGTTGTGTATCATGTTTTTTAAAGTAACTTAAGTAATAAAGTAACCAACTACTTTTGAAAAGAAGTAATCAGTAAAGTTAACGGGATTACTTTCTTGGAGAAGTAATCAGTAATTAGTAACTAATTACTATTTTCAAGAAGCTTGACCAACACTGGTCTTGTCTTAGCAACAAAGATTAATCTCCCCAACTCTGGATCCATACAAATTTAAAATATAGTCGCATGTTTTGTTCCTCAGTAACAAAACATGCGAGTGTAAAACATTGTTTTACATAAACACAGAGGGTTTTTTCTGTATTCATAGATATACAATATATATTTACTTAATAACAAAGACAAAAACACAATGTCAGTGGCTAAAGAAGCATTAGTGAAAACCTAATCAGAGCCTCCCATGAGAACAATACTAATGACCTAATGATGACCTAACCATGACTGCAACATGCTGACCTGCCACAGGTTGGTTCTGTTGGCCTGGAACTTGTTTCCCCATGGGTAGGTCCGACCTGCAGCATAACAGCCAGGAAAGAGATTAGATGAACAATAAAATTATATTTCAGTTTTGTGAAAAAGTCCATTATTCAAACTAGTTTCCTGATTTTTCACAAAGACTTGACTGAATCTGAAACACAAAAGCAGTTTTGGGTTCCTCTGTCAAGACAATAACAAAGGAGCTGCTGAGCAGAAACATCACTGTGTGTGACTTAAATGTTGTCAGCTGGAAGTGAAAGTCAAAAACTCGACTATAATAGCAGTAAACATTATACCTTGCAGCCCCCCACGTGCAGCCCACTCCCACTCCTCCTCCGTGGGCAGTCTCTTGCTTTTCCAGCTGCAGAAGGCCTGGGCGTCATTCCAGCTCACCTGAACCACTGGAAAGTCCAGACGATCTCGAATCCCCGAACCAGGCCCTGAAGGCTGAACAGTAGAGGGTCAACGTGCGTGGCAAAAAAGTAGGCAACAATAATTCTACCAACCACTCGTTACAAAAAATGTGTAAAGAAAAACACCTCTGAATACTGAAACTGAGACTACAATTTGGTCGGACTCAACAAAGCAAAAGTTAGACAACAGAAGACTGGAAAAATGCGGTTTGGTTTGATAAGTGTCGATTTACGATAAAGCACATTTGGGATGTGGACGCAACAGAAGAGTTGCATTGTGGATGTGCAGCTGATGATCTGCAGCAGTTGTGTGATGCTGTCCTGTCAACATGGACCGAAGTATCTAGGAATGTTTCCAGCACCTTCTTGTATCTGTGCCACAAAGAATTCAGCAGTGCTTGAGTAATAGGGGTCTGACTCAGTACTCGCATGGCTTACCTAATAAAATGTAATAAGTGAGTGTAAACAAAAACTGTCAAAAACATAGGAACAAACTCACAATGTGCAACTCACCTGTCTCCAAAACACACGCTCTATAGGCAGCCACCACGGAGCAGACTGATGGAAAAGATGAGGAAATGTTGTTTACAACAGTAAGAAGCTCTACATTATATATTTTATTTATTGTGGAGAATCTCTTTAAATGCTGAGATGCCTACAAATTGTTTCATTAATTATTATGAACAACACTAACGTTAGACATATAAAAACAGCAAATCTTCATATCTGAGATGTATGCTTAAAATTGTGAAATAAGGTCATTAATCTAGCTTTCAGAGAAAAATAACTCGGCACCTCAATTCTCTGAGTGACTTTGCTCTTCAGCTCTTCTGACACGAAGTCCTGAAACACGAAACTCCAGCCAAACGTCTCGGCTTCAGTTTTGTACTTCTGGGCTCTCACAAAGTCTCTGTGGCAAATAAATGAACAAGTCACCGACTTCAGTGCATTAGTTCTGCCTTAATTCATTTCAATGTAGATCTTATTTACCTGAAATCGGCGTTTGTGACGGGGTGTCTGTCTATTTCAAAAGGCTGAAGCTCGACCTCCTTGGTGGGAGACTCTCCGTCTCTCCCATCGGGTGCACTGGTTCCCATTGACATCTTTCCTCCCGGGATGTTCACCATTTCCTCCGCGGCTGCCAGGAACAAACATGCCTCGATGGGTATTTATTTAAGTGTTAATGTTTTTGTTAAATTCAGAAATGAAAGAAAGAGTCCTCTTACCGGCCCCTGTCAGTAAAAACACAGCAAACATCCAGAATACCATCGTCTTTGCTAAAACTGGTTTGAAACCACGTCTAAACATAAATATACACGTTAAACATTTAACCACGTTCAAATGGAGAACTTCTCAAAGTTCAATTTCATTTTTTAGTCGTTTCTATCGGACAGATTTCACCGTTGCACCTCAAAATTGGTTCCGTCCGGTTTTTCAAATTCACGCGATACTTCCTCTTTCTCAAAGCTTTGTAGTTTAATAATATTGAGAATAATATTAATATTGTTAATAATAATAATAATAATAATAATAATAACAATAACAATAATAATAACAATAATAACAGGAAGAGTATTACATTGGAAAATATTTCGAGTAAGACGTAAACACCAATGCTCTGCGCTGGTGTAATATAAATCGTACTCAACCCTATCTGACTGATTCAGCTTCTCAATTACAGTTACAGGTTATGTTTTACTCCCATGCAGCACATCTGTGTAACCCTTTCTCAATTCTCAAGTACATCTGCTCTCTGGTGTTAATAGGCTATTTCAGCCCAACACCCCAAGTACACATTACACCACTTTTAATGCGCTGCACTGTCCACTTGACTTCTGTTATACTGAACCACTAACATATCTGATATTTGCTATTTTTTTTATGTGAATTTGAGAACTGCTGCTTTATTAAGCATATTTACTTTTTAATTAAAATGTCTTAATTATATAGACTTTTTTTAACGTTACAAGAACTCAGGGATCTCCCAATGTTTGTGAGCAATGACGTTTTACTCATTGGGGTCTTTTGCTGGGATGCATTTATTGTGAAGCCTTCATTTTGATGTCAAAAGGCAGGTGAATACAGAAAGTTCAGAAGTGTTTGCGTTTTGATTTGGTGTGTCGTGAAAACTCTTTAGAAACTAGAGCTTATTTACAACAGTAGAAAAGTGCAAGAGGAAGCACACAAAGGACACATGCAGAGGATCAGTGTGACAGGAAGGATGCTAAGGGGAGAGATAAGAGGAGATGGAGACTGATGACCTGCTTAATTTCTTATGCTCCGGTCCAACACTGGTTGTGCATTACAGATCACATTTTTCCTGATGAGCTTCCAAAGCATTCATGGACTCAGAGCAGAAAAAACACAGATGTTAACTTTTATATGTTTGACTGATTAATTCTTCAACGACAAAGAACCACATTTTTACGGAGCCAGGAAAACCTTTAATGGGTAGAAACAAAACTGAGGCAGAGGTCAGTGCTTTTAACAAAATCTCATAAATAAACCAATCATTTTAGAGGGAGGCGATGACAAATCCATGGAAAACAAAAAGAACCTCATGACTAGCATGACAATGATGTCTGACAGGCGCTGCGATGGATGCCGTGGATGTTTACAGCGGGCTGTCCATCAGACTGGGGGTGCTTCAGAGTGCCTACAGCGGGAACACGTTGACTGAACCTTTAGGTAAACAACTATCCCTGTGAGTATAACAGCTGCAGCTTCTTTAGGTGACTTTAACCTTTGAGAGAAGACATTCCAGCTCGCATGATCTCATCCACCAACAAGATGTTGCTTGCGATCACCGTGCTGTGAACAGAGACCCGTGTTAGTGACCCATGTGGGCGATACATCGGGGTAATTTAAAACATTCCTTCGTCTCACCATGAGTGAAGAAGCTGTTTCTTGACACTGTAATTATCCCATACGCCTGCTTCTCCTGCCACCATTGGTTCTCCTGCACAGCAAAAGGTTAAAATAAAAAAATAAAAAAGGTTTAAATTCTGCCAAATTGTTACTGTTTAATAACTTCACATAGCTAAATACAACAATTATAGAGTTTTACTCTAAACTTTAAAACGCAATCACTTCAGGATTGACTGATCGCTGCGGTGGTTCTCACCTGTGCTGAGGTCTACTCCAACTAGCTGGCCAGACTCTTTGTACTCTGTCTGCAGCTTCAGCAGGGTCTCCTGTGGGTCGTAGCCAGAGTTCTGGGCCAGAACCTAAGAACAGAAAGATGGCATTTTAAAAACATCAGTAAATTTTGATACAGGATGAACTATAAGAAGGTGACAAATAACGGTGCAGCAAGAAACAAACCAGGTTTTGGTTAATAAAAATGACAGAGAAAATGAATTATTCTTTACCTTAGGGATGACTAGGAGAGCATCTGCAAATGCCTGGACTCCCAGCTGGGCTCTGCCTTTCACATTGGGCTTGTGTTTTACCAGAGCGTCTGCCACAGCAACCTCAAAGGCACCTGCACCGGAGACTACACTACCTGAAGACATAGAAAAATAAAGATATTTAGGAAAGCAAACAAATGTGTCATATAAATTAACCCACTCGGGGAGGGAACAGCTCTAATATTTAAAACAATTAGTGGAGTTTGTTCTGATCAGCTGAATACATGTAGGAGAGACTAAACTCTCCTAATGCAGAGGATAAGATCAGAGTCATTGTAGCACAGACAGTGAGACCAGGGAGAGCCACACTAGCATCCCTGGGTGTTCGCTGTGCAAATGAGACCTGTTCTGTTTTCCTTAAGGACAAATTAACCACCTTCAATTTCAGCTTGTTATCAACATAAAGAGAAAATGGATATTTTGATCTACAGTTTGTCCACACAATATTTGGAAAAAGCCTTAAAGGACTTCAGAGTGTTGTTTCATGAATGAATTTCTGCTTAAAGAATTCTAAAAACACTGATTTGTCTGCACACAGACATTAAAAAAAAAGTGTTAATCTGTTTAAAAAGGTAGCATTTTACAAGCCATACTAATGGTCAAGCAGAGCATCCAGTAGGATTAATTCAGACAGAACAAAACTGCAGAAATTCATCATCAACAAAAGTTTATGTTAATAATTTTTTAGTAAAAGGATTTTAAAAAGTAAAATAAGCATAGAGGAAATGTTCAGCTCTTACCATCTTCAATAGCGTTCTTTACTGCCCGCAGACCGTCCCTTACGGCATCTTTGATCTGTGTGAGGGTGTGTTTGTTGGGTCCCTTCACCAGCAGGGTAACTGAGCGAGGGTTTCCACACTTCTCGATGAACGTGTACTTCTCCTCTCCCTGCAAGCAAGGTTGAAGCATTAATATCATTTTAATTTTAAAAAGTTTAAATTTCACAGTTTTGTGGACTGAAAGGTAAAAAATAGACCCCCCCAAAAAAAAAAGTCTCACCAGTGTGTGTTCATAAACCAGGCCAGCATGTCCCAAGCATTCAGGTGTGAGGTCATCAACTGAGTTCATGGCGATGCCACCGCAAGCGAGGGTGAGCCTGTCACAGGAACGACACACTGAGTGTAATTCAGCTTCTTAATATATGACTGACTGACACCGGCTGGTAGTGTAAAGCACCTGTACGGGTGTGTCTGTGCCAATTTCAAAACATAAAGCATGAGCTCATCTCAGCATGTTAAATCAAACAATTCAAAAATCTTCTATGAACTTTTATCTAAGTAATGTAATGTTTTGCTCATCTCAACTATAAAACACCACCAACATTTATAACACTGAAAATATTTTTCTCACCTCTCCATGTTCCTCCTCTTTGCCCTCCGCAACCCAACAATGCCCTCTTTGGCTAGGGCGTCCAGGGAGAATGGGTCAATACCCTAAACACACACACAAAATAAGAAGACATGCTTGAGACTGCAGTTTACACTAAATAGTTCGGTAAATCTAAGCGATGTAAAGATTATCCTGATCCGCTGAATACATGTAGGGGAGGAAGAGACTCTCCTAATGCAGAGGTACAGATCAGAGTTACTGTAGCACAGACACAAAAACCAGGGGGAGCCATGATAGCATCCTTGGGTGTTCGCTGTGCATGCAGCCAGATTGGCTGGGCCAGTCTCAAAAGGCTTAGTGTTCATATGAAAACACAAAGTCAAATTACGAGCCTGTATCTTTAGTAGTACAAGCCAGACTGAACTGAGTTTGACAATTCTTTTTTTTAAACTTTAGCCTTTGAACTATGTTAACCTCCGCATTTTCTAGCATACCTTCTGGTTAATGACGACAAAGCCCTTGTCCCCATTGGGACACACTTTGTTTTTCAAGGCGATAATCTTCTGCACGCGGTCCTCGATGAACTTCCTTTCTGCAGCCACGAGCTTCTCCCTCTCATCAGCGCTCTTGTAGAAGAAGCCAGAGTTGACCTCGGTCTTCTCGTACTCCAAAGAGACGTTGCAGGTCAGTATGTAAGCATCCTCCACCCTCTTCTTCATGTCTGGGTGCCGGGCGCCGTGGTCCAACACCAGACCTCTGATCAGCCTAAGAAATAACAGATCAGCATTTAGAATTCACAGTTAAGCACAGTCTTGTCTTATCCCCCTCTCCACCTCTGTATTTACACTTACTGTGTATCACAGTCGGTCTTGTGCTTCATCTCCATGATTTCCACCATATACAAGTCAGTGGGTTCATTGGGTTTAGCGATGGCGAGCACAGCATCTACTACAGCCTGCAAACAGACAAGGTGATCACAAGCTAAATGAGCAACAGCTAAGATTAGAGAATAGAGAAGTGCACTCACAACAAGCTACAGACTGCCATAAAGGTTCAAGAATAAGTAAGCCCTTAGGTCTGTGGCAACTTTGAAATGTCAAAGTAAACTAACTAATTGGCTATAAGGTAAAAACATCTAACATCTGCTTTGTGCTCGATTCCCTCATGTCACACCTCAGTGAGCAGGTCTGCCAGCTCTGCGTGGACCTTGGTTCTGAGGGAGGTGCGTGCGACGTTAATGAGGGTCTCTCTATCCATTTCCCGAGTCACCTTTACTTCCTCAAGAACAGCCAAAGATTTCTCTTTTGCTGCCTCAAAGCCCTCGGCAATGATTCTTGGATGAAGACCCTGCAACAAGCCATTAAAATGGAGTTGTGGTTTAAAAAAAAGATACCTCAACAATTCATTCACTAGAGAGACTGACATGCCAAATACAAACACACACTGTGAACTATCTTGTACCTCTGAAATGTAAAGGTCAGCCTGCTTCAGTAGTTCACCAATGATGAGGACGTTGGAGGTGGTACCATCTCCTGTGATGTCATCCTGTGCAGTGGCAACCTTGGCAATCAGCGATGCTGTAGGGTGCTGAATTTGCTGAAAGGGAAACAGGTTGGGAAAAATTTTATGAAAATCCTCATTCATGGGTAATTCATGGCAGCAGTGCTAAACCTACTGATCCATTATTAATTATTATGAATCCTCAGTTGCATTACAAGGTACTAAGTTTGCTTTGAAGTGCTAAAAAAGGTATTTCCAGTTGCTCCCTTGTTTCCCAAAGGGACAGACAAATCTACAAGTTGAATAGGCACAGATTTTACACCGGATACCCTCCCATTAATCTGTACTTGGGATGGCATTAGGAGGATAGCAGGTTGTGTGGCCCGGTCAGCTGGTAAAGACTTCTGCGTTCAATATATTTTTTAGAATTTAGGTACGTTGTAATGGTTAACGAATTATTGTCAAATTATTAATGTGCACTGTGACAAATGTGGAAAAAGTGCCATCAACTTCAAACCCTAAAGCACATCTATCCAGATATTTAAAGCTCAGTCAGATAACATGCTGCTGTTAAACTCATTGTTTGTGAGAACAAAGGCTTAAGAGACATATACAAACATTTAGGGTGTGGTCACTTTCTGTGAAATAGGCAATACAGTACTAATATGACATCACTGACAGAAGATCCTCATTTTACAGCTCATCGTGTCCCTTACCATCTCGTGTAGCAGGACGTTGCCATCTTTGGTCAACTTTATGTCTCCTGCACCAGACACCAGCCTGCAGATCCACAGAGACAGAAGAGGGTTAATATTGGTTACCCTACCTACTAGCGGCTTATATTATGATAATGCAAACTTTCACCCTATTATTGTTTGCCTGCTGAAGAACTCGCAGATTATGGCTGTTAGCTTTTATTTATCCATTTCCTCACATCATCTACAAATCCCCAAACAAATCTCTACCTGTAACTGAGTTATTCAGTCGCTCATCAGTATCTTTAGTTAGCGTTAAGGCTAAACTTGTGGACACGTTATACTTAGTACTACGACTTTAACGTAAACTGGCATGATCTGCTAACCGACTGAAGCTAGCATGCTAACGTTAGCTTTATGGCTGTCAGAGCGGATCATGACGATGACTGGGCAGGGCAACGAGTGCCGGGAAAATCCGCTAACCGTTTAGCGATGGCAGGCCTCAATTTATTTTAAGTGTGTTTTGGACAGGTACTCTGTAATAAAGAGTGGATGGTTTCTACTTTTCAGGCACAAAGACTTTGGTGGCGACATACCGCTATCGGCTGCAATGCTAAACCGGTGAATTGCTGCTAACGTTAGCGAGTTAGCATATCACGCGTGCTGCACAAAGAGCTCCGGCGGCACTCACATTTTCATGGTCCCCTTCGGTCCCAGGTTGCTTCTCAGCACATCCTGCAGCCCCCGGGCGGCACTAATGTTAACAGCCAGGGCGGCCTGAGCTCTGGCCACCTCTGCTTTGGGGTTTAGAGCTTTTACGGCAGCCATAGCGCAGCACAACCAGCGAAGTACAAGTAAAAAGTATCGCCGGTAGGGAGTCCACGCTACTCGGGTTCGGAAGCTCTCGAAAGGGGAGTCGCTTTCCAGAAGGCTCCAACACGTGTTCTCGTGCTGCATTTAGGGGACACGCCGACGCTGGGACATTCCGCATTTACAGCTATTACAACTGGTCCACACCATGATTTATATCAGTGCAGAAAAGTCATTACATTTTTCGAACCCATGGGAATATCGTGTCAGGTTGACTCGGCTTCTCCAAAAGAAACGTTAGAACACCTTCAAGGCAACAAAGTCAGATCATTTGTTTTCCGACTGGCAATATCGGTAAGCAAATCACAGTGAAACTGTGAACAATGTCCTGAAAAGTTATAACTTTTTGCGTGAAACATATTTAAAATATATATTTAAAATTTCCGACAGAATCCATCCTCTCCTTACTTTGCAGCATTAGTGCCGAGCATTAACGTTTAAGATTTCCATCACACCATGAAGGCAGCATAAGTCACACCCTAGACACCAATGTCTGGAAATGCAACACACACACACACACACACACGAGTTATTTTAAACGATTACTATTATTATTAAGCCTTACCATTTTATATAGTAGCATCGCACTTTCTTCAGCATGCAAAATTAATATGCATATTTGATTTTTTTTAATGCTGAAGAAAACAAAATTGTGGTCTGACAGTCAAAAATCAACTCATGTTCTATCATTTCAAACCTATGACAAAGAGCACTCTTAATTTTTATCAGAAGTTTAATTAAATATGTACAACTAATCTTATTAAAGCACTGCATTTTACAATTTATCACACAAGATACTACTCCTCTCCTGTTCACAGGGTTATCAACACCCGCTAGGTAATAGAAGACCCTGCACATTCAGATTCAGGAGGGTCTGTAACTATGGTTTGGCCAATAATCCCACTATGTATATCTACAATCTGCCCATTTAAAAAGAAAGAAAGAAACGAAAGAAAACATTGATCTTAGTCAGAGCATACAATCACCCAGATATCATCTACTTGATATAGGGAAAGGCCAAATTTGTCAGTAAGCGTACAGCAGGCTATGCTGTAAATACAGATTAGTTCCGCTGGATTCAAAAACATGTCTTCTGTCTGGAAGAGCCACGTGTGTCATATGTTACAATCTGAACAATCAGGAGTTGTGGTCAGTTAAAAAAACAAAACAAAAAAACCCCAAACCCCCCCCCCAAAAAAAAAACAGGGCAAATAATTCAAATTCAGTATTCATGATTCTGGTAAGACAAAAAAACAAAAACAATGAGCTGGCAACTTGTGTGTATGCAGTATTGTTGACAGGAATTGGTTCATCCAGTCAAATGATTCTGAAAGGAGTAAACACCAAGTTGGCTGTATCAAAGCTATGCAACAAAAGAGGAGTGGACACACGATGAACTTTGAATGAGACTGTGGCTCTGAAACAGACCAAAACCTGTAACTCTCAGCTTTAGTGCTCATTTTATAACACTGAACTTTAAACTGCAGGTTTATCTCTGTGAAACTGACCACTCAGTATGTATTTTAAGCCATGTAATTTTGACAGTGAGCTACTGTGAGCTCTTATTTTCTGCTGTAAGACACTAGTAATCGTCATTTTGTTTCAGGACTCAGAAATCATATTAAATTTCCTTGTACATTAAAAAGGCCCTGTGACCAGCACACAAACAACAAAGAAAGGAAAAGAAAATGAAGACAGACAAGACATTTCAAACACCCTTTAAATGACAGAAGGTGAAGAGGAGTGCACCCCCAAATCATAAGCACACCACATTAATAGGTCAGTAACATAGTAGCTGCTGTAACAGGTACAGTTTTGGTGACAATCATTTTGACATCCAAACAGAAAAAGGGGAGAAAAGAAACCAAATGAAAGGAAACAAGATTGTGTTGATGTTGAGCAGATTTCCCTGGCAGTGCACACTTTGACGGTTGGTTACACTCTCGACAGATCAGTGTAATAGTTGCAGTGGCGGCTGAGAATTCTCCTCAGGTGTTAGTAGTTACTTCAAGGGCGAATTCTTCATGGGAATCATTATTCTAGACTCCATGTGCTGAATAAGAGGGACTGTGAGGTAAAGAACAAACAACAGTCTTAACAACAGATTTCTAACAGGGAACACAACTTTATCTCATTTAAATTTGCTAATGTTTCATGAATTTATAGCTAGAGTTCTCAGTTTAGTTTCAATGTTAACATCCCAATAAAAGCTCATTTTATTAAAGCCTGAGTTGTTGTACGTTGTCCTTACACCAA